TATTAGACCCAACTATCTTGGCACGTATCCCATTCTTCTTGAAGTATTCGTAAAATCCAGTAAGACTCAATCGCTCACAGATTCCCTTGAGAGATGCATGCGCAGTCTCGTAAAACCTTTACAGGCAGTGTATACCATCTTGTGAATGGCTCCGTCGATCTGACCTGCATCTTCAGCTGAAACTTTCCCGAATTCTGGCTTCGACCTCATTTCCTTCAGGTACTTGATCACGTGAAAGTGACAAATGAGAGATTCCGGCGTCTGGAAAGTTTGATTCCAACACGCGAATCTCGTTCAGGTCCTTATCAACGACAATGACCCGTAGACACTGAATTAGTGTAGGATGAGAGCGCTTGAAGTGATCAATCGCCCTTTCCATGTGCCAATCTCAGTGTGCCTCTATCAGCGAGTGCTAAATGACTGCACCCTCGCCGAATTCGTTCATTGCCATGAATGCGAGGAGCTGGTAGCTGTATCTAAAAAAATTGGAGAATCCTGGTTAGAACCCTTGTTATCCTGGACGTTTAAAAAGGACGTACCGATTCGTCTTGTGGCTGCAATCGACTAGCGGAATCTCGCTGAAGTGGGTGTACATACGACGCATATGATCCGAAGCTAACGAAATAACCCCCGTCTCACCACAGGTCGTCTCCACAACAGACGACACGTTTTCTGGGCTAGCTGCCGCGAAAACCGCAATCTTCCGTGCGGTAGCGTCATTATCGTCTGCACTTGAAACAGACGCATGGTGGCGCACCAGATTGTCCACGTCGCACTGGATGACATTCTCGTCATGCTCCAGCTAGTAATCAGAAAATCTGGACCCTTTTGCACTAACAGCCAGCCTTCCCTCGACCCGAGCACCAACGAGCGGATTCATCACCACACGAGAAGCAGGATACGTAGCGAAGGCTGCAGGAAAAACTTGGTGATTGTGCCAAAAAAAACTATTCTTGACCTGTAATTCTCCACGAGCGAGATTCCACTGTACCACGAAACGAAACGGGCAATTCGTAAGACGGATATGCTGTCTAGGACGACTTCCTTCGCTGCGGGACTTCCTTTTCTTCCATCCATGAGTGCAAATATACGTCCGCTGGTACGGGTCGTAGCCGTCGGGCACCAACTGGGACTCGTCTTCACCCTTCTTCTTCTTCTTGAGCCTCTTGTTGCGTTGTGCTCTGGACATGATATATTTGACTGGTATTACTTGCAGCGTCCCGTTGCCCAGTAGTCCTCCAAAATATTCTTGCCCAAGCTTCCCAACTGCCGTGATACTTTCACCAGCGGGTCCACAGACGTAATTGCAGCGTCATCATCATCCGTTCCATCTGTTTCCGACGGACGTCCAGCCCCTACATATTTCTCCGCCTCTCCAGCACTCGCATGACCTCCCGATTCATCCATTTCGCAGTCACTGCTCTCTCCACCATTCAAAGGGCTATCGCCGCCTCCAACCAGGAGTTCAGGTGGCGCCACTTGGCCTCCCCACTGCGTATTGGAAAGGTCCGAGCCTCGGTATCGGGGCAGGAGCCGACGTTCGTCGGCGCGTCCGCGAGTGCCGGTTGCATTAGCGGTAACCGCGTCCTGGGGCATCTTATCTGGAGGCGGCACAAAATAAAATGAATGCTTTCGATATATTCATTTCGGAAATAGGAGAGCGGTAATGTATTTAATTTTAATCATGGACGAGGACATGATTAATAGCATGTGCGCTTCCATGTAAATAATCCTGGCCTGCAACGGTTTCGAAAAAACAAAAGAAGTTCATTTCAAAGATTTGAAAACACATCAAAAGGATACACGATAAACTTATACGTTTTACACTATACTTTAATTCGTAGCCCAAAAAACGGAGTGCCAGGGCGTGGACGATGCATTAAGTTTGAAGGACCACAACGAGTGGCTACATATATTCAATCTTGCGGGGGGTATTTCTAAAATAGTGTTTTCCAGTGAAGATTTGGGTAAGCTGGTTCGACATGTCGAGAATGCTGCTCTAAAAACTGTCGATGGTTTGGAGCACATGGATCGCCACGTTGATGACAGGAACTGCATGAAAAGCACATTACACTACATTTATAACGCGTGGAGAACGAACCCGACGAGTTTCGTTTGGCATATTCATCCTTGGTTGTGGAGGCAATTACTAGCTCGAGCTTAATTTTTTTTAAATCTGACAAACTTTACTATTTGTTAAAGATCCCAACAGAAGATTTGCTCTCGTGGCGTAAGAAGGAGACGCGAGAGAGTCCTGCTCCAAGCCTCGCTTCTAGGGCGCTAACAGTAAGACCGTTCGAGCCGATCAATGGCAGCAGCAACACCTTGTCGCGATTGGGTCCATTTGATGCAAAATCAATGTTTATCCAAGCGTTATCTAGAATTGAGAATAAATTGATGATGTATTTTCCTCTGTTGATGCCTTTCCCTGCGGTTGATGCTGTGCTAGTCTTACCCGATCAACGTCTTATCATCTACGCACAAGCTGCAGTGTCGAAAGCCCACCCAATAAAGTACCTCCTTTTTTAAGATATCTCCAATAATTTGACAGAGCGAAGTAAACATAAATGACTAATAGATAAATGACGCAGTGAAAGAGCTTACACACATAACCCCCTTCGTTGCGTCGGGTGCCACTTACTGTAATTTCTCGTTTTAACCCTAGGGACGAAAATACACGCAGGACGAAAGCAGGAATCATCGTGACTCAGTACGCCGAGAAAATAATGAATTTGTAAAAGTGTTTTAGCGTAACTAAAACAAGTGTAGTAACTTACAGTTTTAGTAATTTAAAGGCTGATGCAGTGCATCTGAACCATGTTCACAAGTAGTTGATTAGCATATTACACTACATCGGCAAAGAATTATAGTAAATCTAGCTATCAATCCCAATGTTTTTTTAAAGTAAGAGAAAAAGACCGACCCAGTTAGGGTTCCCCCTCCAAACTTACACGTTGTACTGTGACATGTGCTGAAAAACTGCAAAATGACATTTTCCCACACATTATGTAAATACGAGTCGTATTATACGACTGGTTAAAGAATGTGAAATGCACAGGGTTAGGCAAAATTCTAGCACAAAGACCCTGCACTCTTCACAAGAACTGTTCACATATTTGTCGCAGCTGTGACCAGCCGCCACTCATTCGTTTCGATTTTAGCTGGCACAAAGCCGAGAGGTAGAAGATGGTTGCTTCTCGCGAAACACGCAGCGAGTCGGAAGCACTTTTGCGCGGCTCGGATGCAAACGTGGGGAGGCCCGGCACCTCACGGTAGCCTAGCATAAGGCTTATTTGAACAGGGAGCCTAGCATAAGGCTTATTTGAACAGGGAGCGTAGACTGCAGTGTTGGCAACCGACGTAGAAGCGAAATTTCGTTGAAAGCGTTCATACGCGTTGAAACGTTGGTAAGAAGTCGGTAAAGATATAACCCCCGTCAGAACGTTTTTACGGACTTATTACGCGTTGTTTCGTAAGCCATTTCGGTTGTTCGTGGTAGTGTGTGTCCTCCTGCAGATAAGAAAAGATCCTATTTTGATCTAAGGGAACTTTGCAGCGTAGAGTGTGGCTTGCTATTCGCCGCAGGATCACAGTCTCTAGCTTTCTGGTCGTTCATACAATAACTTTGAGCCCGTCTTACCTTCCGTTTCTGGCCGATGCCTGCCCCAGCTTCCGAAGAACGTAGTCATTTCTTCAAGAGCCAAGTGCCCATTGTCCAGAAGGATGGAAGCGTATCCGACAAGCACAACTGGTGGGTCTGCAAAAAGTGCCAAGCCGCGCATGGCAACAGCGCCGGCAACGTGGCAGCACCGGAGTAAATTCGTGATCGTGCCGACGCTTATCGTAGTCATCTAAAGCGCTGTCCATACCACCGACCGGAGGCTGTTGCTACGACCCTACCTGTAATTTCGTCTGTGCGGTCCATCTCGTCAATTGGATCTTCGAGTAGCACCGCAGCAAAACGGCAAAAACGGATGAGTGATTTCATATGTCTATGGACGAGCAACATAGGTTTGAGCGTGATCTTCTAGGGTTTCAAGCTGAGTGCCCGCTACCAGACTATTTCATCGAGCGCGATTCAACCAAGAGGCTGTTTGCACGGATGCAGCCGCGCTATGAACTACCTACAAGAAAAGAGCTCGGTGGTCGTATTCTTAAAATTAATGCAGAAAGCGCAGAAACTGCGTCAAATGAGAGCCTGTGAGAGAAGCAAGAGGATACTGGCGGGCGGATGAATTACCTTTCTGACGTATACCAGAATGTCGCTCGACGTCACCTTCTTACATGCCAACTTTGCATGTTTGGCATTGTTGTCCAGTTTGAGTTACTACCCGTCGACTCAGCTCACCATGACATTGCCATAGCCAAGCAGATGGAGGGATCACTTATGAGAGCGTTGGTACTAGGATGGATTATTGGTGCCGTCGTTACTGACGATGCGGGTCAATGCGCAAGGGCCAGACGAATACTGGCCTTAAGATGGCCAAATATTGTGTTTTTACGGTGCTTCGCTCATGACGTGAACAACTTGGTTAAAGCCGTTTTGAAGACAATGTTTAAGACAGTAACGAAGCAGGCAGCTTCTGCGATGGCAAGTTTAAACAGTTCATCGGCAAAGTGGCTCGTGCGTGCGAACGAGCGCGTTTATGTAATGTATGGGGAAACCTTGGCTTTTATTATGCTGTGTGAGACCCGCTGGAATAGCATGCAGGCATGCTCTGCAAGCCTGCTTCGCGTTAGATCGGCGTAAGAAGATCTGGCCCACGGATATCGATATGATGTTGAATTCCCTACAACGCTACATGTATTTCGCGACCCGCTGTTCTGGAGAAACTTAATCGATGCTGAGCGTGTCATCCGGGCCGCTGTAGGAAGCATCCTATCGACTACAAAAAGATGACAACACAATGGCGGGACGTCGTGCGGTGCTTTGGAAAAATACATGCTGCCTTTGTTGCCAGTGCATACGCTTCTCATCTAGTCCCAGTGGTGGAGAAGCGATGGGCGAACTGTGAGCAACCGCTGATGCTTCTCGCTTTCGCATTGCACCCGCTCTACGTGACCCATACGCGTGCCTTAATCCAAGCTCACGACAATACTGTCATTTTAATGTCAGTAGACGGCGTCTCCGCTGCTGCTGACTATTACTATCGCCGCTATGTTGATCTCAACAGCAACGGACTCGTAGGTGATGTCGACAAGTGGTTGCGTGGCAAATTTACCCCGAAAAAGCACACTGACTTCACTGACCAGGCCGGTGTCCTTCAACCGAATGGGGTAATTGATTATTGGGTCCACGTTACAGATTCGTGGTACGTCAAGGGCAGTAAACTTCCTCAGCTAGCGAAAGTGATTCTGTCAGTCGCAGTGAACACTGCGACATGCGAGCGCTGCTTTAGCGAGCTGGGATTGATACAGACACCACGGCGAAATAAGCTAAAGTTTGATAAAGCTCGACTCATCGGCATCATTCGAAATGAGGTCCGCGAGCGCAATCGTCGGGAAAGTAATATCGGCGAGTGTAGAAGACAGAAGAAGCCTGTTAACCCTGCAGAGAGACCAAAACAGCAGATGCACGGAGTTTCCGATCCTGTAACCTCGCTGTCCACTCTGGCTGACGTTACTGATGTCGACTACATGGAGACTGTTGAAGCAGTGGACTTCTGGTTGGACGCCATCGTCGATCTAGAAGACGATGGAGAAAATATTGTGAATAACGTCGGTGACGATGAATGGTATGTTTACGACCCAGAGCTGGAGCCAGTTCCTGTAGCTAACCGAAGCCAAGAGCTTCCAGATGAAGTATTCCATCGTATCCGCAGGGAAAGCTCTTGACGGGTTTGAGAGGTTAACAGGTTACGCTAGAAACGCTGTTTTCAAGCTGGGTGGAGCTGCCTGCTGTAGCAGCATCGCCGTAAAAGCTGACCGGACGCTAAAGCTTCCTCTCTCGTAGATATAGGTAAACTGTGCCAAGTTGTAAAGAGCGCTCTTATAAGTTTTTTCAATACAAGCTGCCAACGTTGGCTACCAAGTATATGTAGCATTTGAATCATTGGAATTCATCGCTCATCACTCGAAAGCGCCAAGTTATTCTCTAAACACCCTGCTGACGTCATGTCCTCCTTGTCTTCTTCATTCTCACTATTCGACACCATCATCAGCTTCTTGAACGATCTTTGCTCGATGATTGTTTCGTCAGCAATCACAGCGACCTGGTCGCAATGGCTCACGAAGCTCAGCGAGTGCGCCACTAGCAGCACCAGCTTGCCCTTCAGCGACTCCTTTAAGCACGCCTTGAAGATGTTGGTGCCCACATGGCTGTCCACTGCAGACAGAACGGCTTCCAGCAGATAAATGCCGACGTCCTGATACACCGCACAAGCGATGGCCACACGAGTGCGGTGGCTGCTACTAAGATTGAGGCCCTTCACACCGATCTCCGTACGGCCTCCAGCAGTCAGGGTACGTCTTAAGTAAGCTCACGCGCAGAGCGTCCTCGTACTTGTCGGCGTCGAACGGCAGTCCGAACGTGATGTTGGTGCACATCGTCTCGTTTTGGTTGAGCGGCTGCTGTGATTCGTATTCACCTTGCCATGAATTGCCACTGAGCCAGAGCTACAGCGGCGTCACCCAAGATTCCAGCCAGCAAAATGAGCTTGCCACTACACGTCCGGAGACGCGCCAGCTCCTTGTCGTGGGACGTCATGACGCGCTAACACAAAATAAACTGATGAAGGATTCTGTCTTGTGTTCGAGATCCGTAAAAACGTGTAAAAACGCGTAAAAACGTTACCACGGGTGGTAAAAAGTAAATCACGTTGCTTCACCTGTTGCAACGTCGTTATTGCCAACACTGTATTATACGACTGGTTAAAGAATGTGAAATGCACAGGGTTAGGCAAAATTCTAGCACAAAGACCCTGCACTCTTCACAAGAACTGTTCACATATTTGTCGCAGCTGTGACCAGCCTCCGGCCACTCATTCGTTTCGATTTTAGCTGGCACAAAGCCGAGAGGTAGAAGATGGTTGCTTCTCGCGAAACACGCAGCGAGTCGGAAGCATTTTTGCGCGGCTCGGATGCAAACGTGGGGAGGCCCGGCACCTCACGGTAGCGTAGCATAAGGCTTATTTGTACAGGGAGCGTGAGACTGACGCCTATTTTGGCGACAGAGGTATTGTGAACACCAGGGAGGAGGGGGAACACGCGTATGCGGACGTGCAGACCACACATATGAAGACGGTGAGGGCGACGACTTCTACTCCGGCGCGGCATCTTCTGTCGCGCCCTTCAACGCAGGACAAGATTGCAGAATATATTGCAGCTGCAAAGAAGATGATGGTTGCCTGTCGTGCGGAAAAGACGAAGGTCAACCCCGAGAAGAAGCCAGCGAAAAAGATAAGCCAAGCAAAGAAGAAGATGTCGAAACCCACGCTCACGTCCAGAGCAATAGAGTCCAAGGAGGCCTGTGAACTCGTGCGTGCAATGTTTAAATACGTGTCGAGACAGGAAATTGTCAATCCGCCAAGTTTGCATAATTTGAATGTTGGTGAGCTACTGCTCTGCTGTGTTCCTGCGATGATTGATGCAGTAAAGATAATTAAAGCTATTTGAGCTGTGGATATGTCCATGGGCATTGGCGCTGGATTAGGTAACGTATTGATCCAAATTGAACTTTTAAAACCATTTCGAGTGAGAGTTGAATGAAGATACAACGGGATTTGGTCGATCGCTGTAACGGGATTTTAGGGAAGCATTTTCTTCCGTTTCCAGTATTGCAGAATACTGGAAACGGAAGAGAATGCTTCCCTACGCAGAAGGTGTGACACGCATTGAGCTTTCGATAATATTTCAGTTTTCCAGCGTTAGCATTATATTTGGGAATAACTTGTGCTTTGAGCCTACCGCAACAAATCTACATCACAAATGAGCTTTCATTCATGAAGGCCGCCTGGGTTGCTGCATTCACAAGCGAGATCTGCCCCCGACATAATATCATCTGGCTAAACAGTTTTGCGGCCTTTGGCAACGGCATGGCGTTGTAAAGCTTGCTGTGAACTGGACACCAAGAAATGCTCCTGTATATATACTTAACGAAAGTAGACATGAAAGCATTTGATTGTAAATTACATTGCTCAACTAAACAGCGGTATCATGGCTTTCATGTACATGTATGCATGTGTTCTTGCATCTCGTTCGGCCTTCAGTTTTCGCTGGAACAACGGGCTTTGATTCAGTTCCCTCCTCTTGAGAAAATACCCTGGGGTAATTAAAACTTGTGGCATATTTTTTAACAAGTCTGTACTGGCTGCTGATAAGAGTAAGCCTCGAAAGCAGCTGTATGCACAATCTAACAGAGACTTACGCAATGTAGCGTGCAATGGTTTGTTACAACGGTGGGATATCGGTCTCCCCACCTTCATACTACGCAGTGCCGGTGCCGCTGCCTTTTGTCAAAAAGCTGCTTCGAACGCAGCGCATCACAAGTTGTTGTGGGCTGCTCACTACGGGAAGTCCTGACAAGCCACATTGCCATATAGGTGCCCCTTCGATTGGCGTTATAATTGTCTCCTCGGCCCTGTGTGAGTAGACCATCGTGTTGTCGCTAGGCGTCTCCATCCATTTACCTTGCGTTAGCTCCCTTGCAAGTTGAACAACGAAAAACCGCGATAATTGGTCATATCAAAATCAGTCGTCTTGACATGTATGCATTCACACGGGCCGAACTCCATTCCAATTTACTATATCATTTCTTAACTGTTTGACCGTCTGCTGACAAAACTCGCCCTCGCAATTGATCCAGATGAGCGACACCTTGCGCGATTGCATTGTAATGGGATACACACGATTGAGCATTAAACGGCTGCAGCTGATTTCCGAGACTTCGTGTAAGCTCGGTCTCAGACGGCTTGTCAGCATTTGAGATCAATTTTACTACCGCACTGTCAAACCACAACACTGCAATCCTCCCATGTCCGACCAAAATCACTGGCCGGTACTGCCCGCGATGTTGCTCCTTCATTTTAGGACGACACGATGCAGGAACTCCACTGCTCCCGCAAATAGTTCATCGACCGTAGAGGCCCTTAAGGCACAGCGCCGCAAGAAGCTGCACTGAAATGTAGTAGCGATCAGTGTTTATTATCTGATTCGAGTCATAACGAGGTCGTTCAGCTTCCATAATTTTAATACGATTTTTTGATAGCTCGTCCAAATCTATTTGCAAGACAGCTAAGTCTTCTGTTGCAACTACGCATTGGAGACGTTGAGACAATTCACTGGCGCAATTGACTCGAAAATTGATAGCTATCCACGATGAAGCGCATCAAGGCTTGTAAATCCGTAAGTGATATCTGCCCCCAGGCTTCATATGATTATTCATTATCAGTCTCCGGCCAAACTTGGTCCTGCATGCAGCACTAACATCGTCAAGTGACACGTCTCTGCCGATTTCCACATCTTTTCCACCCGTATTCTTCAACATATTCAAAAGCGATTTAATTCTCCGGATCTGTTTCACATGTCCTGCTTCATCTGAAATCGTAGCACCACCCGCTTGTCGATCTTGTAGAATTATTCCTTTCGATTGCTACTATTTCTGCTCCTTGGTCGAACCCACTTACAATACAGCTGCTAGTGATATGCTTCCATCGGTGTCAAGAACTAATGGTTCAGTCGCGCTGCTAGCTGTCACAGCTCGTGAGTCGCTATCAGCATTCTATTTAATGAGGTACATGGCTAAAGCAAAAGGACTGGCGTAAACTATTGCATCCCCCAACGACATGATATAAATCGGAAGGCTCCACGACGTGTGCAACGCTGTCAAAATGCATGTTCTTTATACTCTCGGCTTCAAGCATTGAGATTCCAATGGATTATACTGCTCGTTGCTGGCGTCGATTGCTGCCAAATTGCTATCATTCTCCGCAAAACTGGATTCAGTAGTGTGGAGCTGGCAAAGCGACCCCCACGCCGGCTTTGACGATGATGCTAAAAAACGTTAAGGTTTACGATGCCACGCCGACCCATTTGTCTGCTTTTTGGAATTGCGTATCCAATGAGAGGACCTAAAACAATCCAATAAAGAGCGAAACAAGGTCGATGGTGTATGCGCTCCCTGCATCGTCGAAATCCCGCTGTGACAGCCAAACTCCCTTCAGCAGAGAGAATGTAACAAGCGTTTCAGCATGACACTATGATGGACGGGGGTGCCAGTGCAACGGTCGTACTACCATGTAAACTAAGGGTTCGGCGGGTTGCTCTGCTGTTACTGCCATAGAAGCTGTGCTTACACCATCCGGCACTGGAGTTGGCATTTCCCATCACCGCCGCTACGTTTCCTTGTATTTTCCGTGGTTGTTTTTCTTCGCGGGCATCAGGCGGTTTGCGGTTGGAGCGCTTCTTCTGGTGAACGCGCTTCTCTGATGCCCAGCATGTAAGACTTCGCTTGAGTTTAAATGGGTAAGCTGGCTGCTGCTCTTCAACTGCGATTGATTGTTGTATGATTTGGCGTGTCTGCATGTTATTGATTTTGGCGAGGGATTGACACTACATTCGTGGGGTGGGCGTGGACTACCGTCTTACCCCGCATATAAGGCATAGGTGCTGTAAATGAATACAACGCTGCTTGTGTGTTATAATCGTTTAGAAAGCCTATGTGTTGTACAACGAACAAATTGTTTGACTTTGAAGAAGCAAGTCTATGGGTCCTGGAATATGGCTTGGTCGTTTAGGCTTGACCCTCCTACGCGATCGGCGTGGGTTCAAACCGCCACGC